ACTCTATTAGCCATTTTTTCAACTATTTTGGGTTTATTTAAAATTGTTTTATATGTTAAATCTTGTCATTTATCCATAACTTCTGATGCTCTCGTTCATTTACCGTAGATATTTCAGATTGTTTTGTATTCACTTCTTTTTATTTATTAACCATTAGTTCTTACTTTATTGTTATTTATCATTTTAGTTGAAGGACTTGTTGAATTATTGGTTGATATTTTTTTCCTACTCCCTATCAATTAATGTCATATTGAGCGGTTGAACTACCACCGTCAAACTTATATTCATTCCTCAACTCGATTTTGAATGAAAATTCGTTTGTTTTATGACGGTAAACCTAATAATTCTCAACCGTCATCTGATTTTTGTGCTAGCATTCTCAAGCTACTGATAAACTAAAAGTAGTTTACGTATCTTTTCGAATTTATGTAATAGAAAAAATCGGTGTATGACTTCACCAGATATGTAACTTATTTTATTATTTGAAATATTTAGCCCGCCATTATCAAGAACGTTGCAACTTGATGATTACTTTGGAAACATTTTCAGCCATTTTAACATCCAGGTCAAAATTATAGAAGAGATATTGAAGTCTTTTTTATCGTAACTGACCAAATTATATACAAACCAACAAAGATTCCTGTTCATTTCAGAATGACCCAAGTGTTTAGGACGTTGGTCATAAAACAGTATAGACTCCTGAATCTCAATATGCTAGACTAAACAACATTTCTTATTATGACGATGAAATGTGAATCCTAGTTTTAAGTGAATTGTAATTGCATTTCAATGACTTGGCAATATGTGCGATATCCAAAGCAATTCCCCTAAGATTAATAATTTAATTTGTCATCATGAATTATGGGTCATTTTAATATTAACAATCATAGACATAATCAGAAAAACCCAGTATCTGATTTTTTATTGACTGTTAGTAAATATGCATAGGATAGTCCTTCAAAACAGAATTAATCTCAAAGCCTTTTCGAAACTACTATTTGTCGATAGAAATCCTTATCAAAACATTTTCACACTTAACAGAGACCAAGTTGAAATCGGTACGATGTTGGTTACTAACCATATCTTTATCAAAGGAATAATCTGAACCAGAAACATGTATGATGCAATTAACAATTATAGTCGCTGTGTAATTGTTATTATATTTCATATAAATTCAAAAGCTGTACGCTTTTCAGTAGTTAGATTCACAAAAACCTTTTGTTATAAGAGTTTAGAAATTTATCAATTTGTCATTGTCCTCGATACCGATCACTGTACGCAAAAATTTATGTGAGTTAACTTATGACTGTAAATGTTTATCCAAACACTGTTTTACATATTGTCTCTTCGACCTGGTACAAACGTTGCTATTAAATCGGGCCAAATAATATTGTACATAGGAGCAGTCTTAAGACAACGAATAAAAGTGTTTCCATTCTTTTTAGAGTGGCTACAAGAATTTTAAGAAATAGGCAGCTCTTCTATCGGATAACCCCTTCACATTTATGTACTAAGTTATAAAACGTCTAGGAGAGTGTTAAGATTCTAACCATATGATTGTTTTCAAGCTACTGTCTTTCCTTGTCTGATTTTTTTTCAAAAATAACGATTTCTTGAGGGTCAACACCTAGATTGCTTTTATTTTTTTATATAAGGCAGTTTCTACTTATGTGTACTGAACAACAGGATCTCTAACATCTCTTTCAAAATATTATTATTGATTTGTGCTGAATTTTAACATATCGTCAAAAAAGAAGCTATTTCCAACCCTCAACTGTCATTCAAAGCATTTAGATTATATGTTGGAAATTTATATAAGAAGAAAATTCTAAAAATGTGTCAACGCATGTCAATTCAGACTTGATGCTCAGTTCACTATTTTTCCAAGGTCTATTCATAGACCCAGTTAGATACAATAATTTCATACCCATAATAACTTTTATCTTGAAGAGAGTAAACACAAAGATTTGAGCAGAATAACACAAATTCATTTTATTTTGTTAGCTGCTTACAACTTATAATCTTTTAACATTAAAATTATCATACAAGTTAACATGCGTATACAAGCGAAATTGATTAGAAGTGAATAAGTATCATCTTGATCGAGTGAAACTCCCAATAAAGTCCCCTGAAATTTTCTGAAACCTGAATTTTTAACAAAAACCAGGTGATAAATCTATCTTTACACTCACTTTATTGCCTCACCACTTTTTATAACTCTTCCTCATACCTTGACCACATCATTTTCAATTCTATTTCAAACTGACTAATCTCGATCCATGTTATCCTCCACTACCACTAACCAGCGTTCAGTTACTAAACTGCGTAATCAACTAGAATTTTTGCCTGTGATCTTTGGTTACAATTTTGATTTTCCAGAATTCTCTCTTACATTGTACTTATCTTAGGCAATTTTTCCTATCTTATTTATTGAGATACTCTCTCTATCATAATGATACTAATTCACTTCTAAGTAAGTTCGCTTGTATAAGTATGTTAACTTGTATAATAATTATAAGTCGTAAGTAACTGATTAGGACCGAACGAAATAAAATGAATTCGTATTATTCTGCTCAAATCTTTGTGTTTGCTCTCTTCAATATATAGAGTAATCATCTAAAACTAATAAAATTTGATCTTCTAATAACATTCGCTTTATTATTTATTCTTATTGCTCAAACTTACACAAATTAATAAACTCAATTAACCTTTTCAGAAATTACCGAACTCAAATAAATTTCATTTATTTTAAAATCTGACCATCCTACAGTAACAAAATTCAATCGATTTGCTTTAAAAATATAAATCGAAGAATAAAGAAGCGTATCTATTATCACTGTCATTACAAGCATGGATATAATTGAACAAATGGTAATTAAGCTTTAACCTTACAATGTATTCGATGTATTCGACTTATTGAAAAATTTTCATCTAAGACCAATAACTTGATTTCGTTATTAGTAGATTTATACTCTTACTGAACTGAGTTACATATTTGACGAAGGATATTTACTGAAATTGATTTATACATCTGTCACTAGTTGGTATTAATTTAAGACGGAAACAATTAAATTGATAAGCAGATTTTTATTTACTTTAACAGACTAGAGGAATCTTATTCCACAGAAAAACTTTAGAGTACAAAATGGATATTCTCATGCCTTTATGAAAGAATTCTATGAAAAACAATCAAATTAGCCGAAATCAAACTTAAAACAAATTTAATCGAGATTAAGTAATAAGCTTTAAAAAATTACAACAAAACGTATCATGATGTACTAGCTTTTTGTCGTACGCAAAAAATAATGTTCATTTTAACAGTAGAGTATTAACAAAAACTCGACTTTTGTCATCTGGATCTATATTTATCGACTTACATGTACCTACTAGATGACGTATGCTACAATGACAGGAAACGGAACGTTATTCAACTTGGTATAACTCAAAAACTATGAATCAGAAGACTAGACAAATGTCTAGTGAAAGGCGACCATAAAATCATCAAATTTCAAACGTCTTCAAACCATTTAAAAGAATAATTCAAGTTAAAACAAATGTGTAGCACCATGGATTTACGAGCCGGTGAGTTGTTTTCAGTTTAAGTCTCTTTCTTTTAACCTGCACTATAAAATTTAATTAGACGTGATTGACCATATAACCTATTCTCGTAATACTGGAGAACCTGGAACTTACAATTTTCCAGATGATTGATTTTAACACATTTCATTCTTCGACCTGTCCAACTATTCCGTTTGATGATGACTTAGAACAAATCCATTAGATAGGAGGCTCACATCAGTCATCCTCCTTTAACATATTTATATGAAAATTATAAAATTCCCATTCACCAATGAATCACTTTCTACCCGTCTAGTTACCAAGATATGTCGAAACATTTAATCATTACTACCTTTTACTTTTTTTCCTCCAGCATACAGTTGGAGACAAGAATTCCAAGTACAATTAATCAACTTTAAGCGATGAATAGTTTGACCTGTGATTCATTCCTGTTTAGTTAAAAAGATGACATTGTCCAGTTTGGTGAAGACGCTGATAAAATGCAGTCTTCTGTTAGCACTGAGTAACAATGCCAGGATATTTAGGATGCGTTCCCCCCCCCCTCTAAATGTAAACTGCTACTCCAGGACTGGCCTGCGTCAACACCTGAACTAAGGATAGGGAGTCAAATAGTCGAACGTGTCGACAACTTCACTTATCTTGGAAGTCTGATCAGCCCTAATGGGTTGGTGTCTGACGAAGTCTCTGCACGGATTCAAAAGGCTCGTTTGGCTTTTGCCAACTTACGTCACCTGTGGCGAAGACGAGATATTCGTCTATCAATTAAGGGACGAGTATAGTGCTCAGCAGTTCGCTCTGCTCTACTTTACGGCTGCGAAACGTGGCCATTAAGAGTATAACATACTCTAGTATTTAGTCACAAATGCTATAGAAGTATTGTTCGCATCTGCTGGGATCACCGGGTAAGTAATAGTGAGGTTAGACACAGGGTATTAGGGAATGATGGTAAATCAGTTGGTGGGATTGTAAATCTTGATCGACTGAGATGGTTGGGCCACGTGTTACGTGTGCCTGAACACCGACTACCACGACGCGCTATGCTGACTAGTGTTGGAGACGGTTAGAAAAAAGTTAGGGGCGGCCAAACAAAACGTGGCATCAGTGCTTTAAGTCACTAACTTCTATTCTGTGCCATGTTGGTAGATGTAGACTACTTGGTTGGGGTCTGCATAACTATCGTAACCAATGGTTGGAGACCCTGTGTGGCATGGCTCAGAATCGATCACAATGGCATAAGTGTATACACTCTTTGTACTTCCTTGAAATTAAAATTGCTTCATATCTCTCTTCCTTCTTGTACTATATCCCTATATACAACCTATAATTTATATACTACCATCAACACTAAATTAACTAATTCTATGAATTTGGTGTTCGTTTTGTTGTGCGAATGAGGTATGGCAGCTTGGACCGATGCATATATGTGCCTGGTCCTACGCTGTAGCACTGACTTCCTAGTAAGCATAAGATTACTTATTTTAAGGACTGTGTAGAAAGAAAACGATGTGTTTATAGATTCCGACGAGTGGAATGTTCGACAGAATGAAAGTCGAAAAATCCAGAGCATCAAATAACCTGATTCAATTTCGAATTTTCAGATCACCAAAAAGTTTACAGAGTCCGGAAAACTAAAATATATTATGAGCAAACAAACAAGCCGCTCAGACTTAAAAATGGTGTCACGAATAAAAGTACAGAATTAGTTTTTTTGAAATCAAAGTAAACTGGCAATAAAAGAGACGAAATAATAAATAGCTAAGCCAATAGGTACATAATCAATCCCAAAAATCGAAATCCAGAAATGGAAAAATTTTTAACCAATCGCTATCAAGATGACGAAATTCGGTAGTCATTTGAATGAATGTTTAGTAGACATATATGATAGGAAATAAAGTCAAGCAATGAAACGATTGTTCTCTCCTCGCCGATTTAAGTAGTCTGTTTGTTAGATAGTCCTCTGCACTTCTCATAAACTACGACGGTCGAAAATAGTAAGCGCTTTTGGCATTTTGACCAGCTGATCTTTTACCATATAAAATCGACAGAAAGATTTGTCAGACAGACTACAAACTCGTAATCTGTACAGAACTAAATGATCATCAATTACTATACGCAGAAAAGTTACTAGTATTTTCATTTAGTTAACCCTTGATATTCAGAATAAATTAGCACGGTAGATTTGACCCGTCTCCATCAATAAGGTACACTTACACCCTATTCAATTGAACTGAGTGATACAGTCTTGATCCGACAAATACTTTCAATTTCTAACAAAACCTTTCAATGATCGCAGCCCATGGGGTTTATGAAACAAAAAGATTGGTATGAAAATAACCCAAGGGTAGAAATGAAGATATAGGACAAAACCACCAGACTATTAGCTACTTGCCAGTAGTAGAAGTAACAACACTATCAGAATTGGAAAGACTCGGTATAGAAAATGGTGAGATTTTGTGCTGCATGTTCTGAAGCAAGACAAAACGTGAGTGCGTCTGAGTCACTGAGAACGACTACGAGCTTTCAACCAGCCTCTAAACATTAATTACGATAACCGAGCGGACTTCATCCGTATACTTGATATCTATTAACATGACTCAGACCAACTGTCAATAACTTTATGGACTACTGATATACATAGGTTTGGGGGCTCCTAGCTTTCTCCTACACCAGGCAGCCGTCGCACATCGGGGTTGGATATACAGCACCCTCTACTCGAGGGTACCAAAATACAAGAGCGATCGTTCAAGGATACCAATGATCAAATAACAGTAATCTACGAATACACTTTATCCTTAATGTCCACACTCATAGAGTAGGACGGAACAAACTGTTGCGCAGTTTAACCTAGCAAATCCTGGACTAGCTCTAGGGTTAGTGGCGACCCCAAGCACGGAAGGACAGTCAGAATCATTGTTAGTAGCAGCACCTCGCCAAAACGAACCCCGCTACGAAAGCGTCAGTGAAACGAAACCAATTATAATCTACCCTGATGGTTGAAGAACTTTCATGTATGGAGACGTCAAGACTTGACAACGCAAGAAAATCCCTACAGTTGAAGAATATCTAGGACTCAAAACAACTGCCACCCAAGACTAATTATGGGATTCTCAAAGCTAACATTAAAAGTTTAAGTGGATGGAATTTAAGCTTGAAGTACCACAATTGACAAAAAAGTATACTTAGTTATAAACGGTTGTTTATACAAGATACACTGGATCCAATAATCAGAGACGAAAAGCAGTAACTAACTCTCACAGAGAAAAATCCAGCTGCAAGTTATGAAGAAATCAGGTGGACAGGATACACTATTAATGAGACCATCGAACAGTTTCAGAGGGCAAGCTGTAGCTTGAAATTCTCAAAATAAGAGGCATAACAAAGAACACATATTGCAGGAAATTCGAGGGAAACAAACCTTCGCAACAGGGAAGGAGTTTGGTACAGAGTTGTTTGCAAGCAGCTGGTGAACGCTACATACCCTGAGAGATACCAGACTTCGGTCATGTGAATCTCACCAGCAAATCCCAAAGTGAATACCACTACTACACTTAACGTCTCAGCAAGTTGGTAGTAAATAGTGCAGTCTGAATCCGAGTACACAAATTACTAATAAGTCACGTAGTTACATTATTATTTTCGTCATCCTTAGCCTAATGACACTACGATTGGAAAAATATTGTATAGCATCCTGTTCCGAAATATCCCTTTAAAGAGGAAATCGATACGTCATGAGGATGTGGAACTTACATGAATAAACATCCAAGAAAGCATTAACGAACTGACTGCTTCTACGTACTTTTGGAAGCAGAATAGTGATAAGGGATAAAAAGCTAAAGCAGTTTTTTTCGAGTTGTAAGTAACGGATATATGGGGGCTTGGAACTGCACTCTGGTCGAAATGCTAAACTGGCCGCAATTTGGACAATTTAAATCGCGAACTTGAGAAATCTATTTTATTTGATTGGATCAATCTCAAAATTCCAAAAGAATGATTCAGAAGGTACTCATTACAATTATTTAGAATAGATGATCAACCGTAATAAATTTTATTGATGGCATTTTAAAATATGTACACAATTTTAAGAATATCGCAAGTGACGAGTTCTAAAGGAGCTAATAATTGAATGGATACAATCAAACAATCGTTAGTCATCAAAACAAATGTTAATTGATTTCCGATGAAGTACACTCGACTCTGAGAAGTAAAGGATTGAAGGAAATACATTTGTGAGGAAGAAATCCCGAAAACGAACTGTTGATTACTGCTTTTCTTGTTTGACTGATTCGTCACTTTGAGAGTCCGTTTTTGTTCCCTGTTCACCTGCCATCTATTTTACATCAAATTATTAACTTGTCAAAAACTAACCTTTCTATAGGCAACTTCAAATAACTTGAGGGACGCTTGCTGAAGTTCGTTAGTAGCTTCTCTGATACTTTCAGCTGTTTCGCTATCCTTGTTATTCAACCGACTTCTTAACTTCTCGATAAGTACACTGAGTTTCTCCCTCTAAATTGAGAAAATTACGTTACTTGAATACACCAAATAGGCAGAATATGACAACTGCTGTTGAACATGAAAACGATTTGCAATACACGATGTTCCTTGTAGACATTAACACCAATTCAGTGAACTTGGGGACTCAACTACATGTCAGAGGGTCCGATCAAACTTTCCTGTTTAAATATTAAAGTTAACCGACTACACGCTACCTTCTATTCATGAGATCTACCTGTTTTGTATTATATATTTAACCAAAGATTGCATAAGTATTGCCGGATAAGAGCTGAATTCAAGACTACTTTTATACACTAAAAACATGACGACTGTGTATTTTACCAAGTTGTCACACTATATCATTGAAGCAAAAGGGGAATATAGGGAACGGGAATAATATTGAGTAGCTAATTATATCCTGGTAGAAATCATCCTATGTGCTACAGCAATTTAAGCTGACAGGCACTTGTGCCATGGTGTCTTATGACTCACATGTGTGACTTTAGACTGTTGAAGAGTACTCATATGTAAATAAGCTAAGTAGGTAGTTTTTGTAGGTCAAACTTGAAAAAAAAGAAGTTCAAGTTCTAACACAGAAATAATAACTCATTAATTGTTACTGCATTGATCCCAACACAACATGAGCATTACACCCACTTCGGTTATACTTATTGTTTCCATACGGATCCCTAAAACAGCTAGTCAGTACATTGGGTACTTCAAGCCTCGAATAAATATCAGCTGAAAATCTTAGAAAAACTTCACATTGAATTATCCAACTTAAATGGTTAGATTGTAAGGAATTTGATGCCGTTTATTGTAAAGTGTTACTAAATCCATTGGATGTGTCATTTCATTTATTTGCCTTGTTGCATTCGAGCGGTGGGGTGAGGTAGGGTTGCCCAACCTCACACTCCTCTTCAACTTTGCCATCGACGACATCCTGGAAACAGCTCTGATGGATGTGAGTAATAGCGGTGTGGATCTGCTGCCTGGAAAACGACTTCTCGACCTCGAGTATGCGGATGATATTGTCTTACTGTGCGATAATGCCCATAGCATGCAATCCGCACTTAATCAGTTGGCAATCAGTGTCCGCAGGTACGGCATGCGCTTTGCACCCTCAAGTGCAAAGTACTCCTACAAGACTGGCAGGATTCCCATCCTGTACGCACCCTGGATGGTGAGCTGATTAAAGTAGTTGAGAAGTTCGTGTATCTAGGTAGCTACCTAAGTGCTGGTGGTGGCGTGAGTGATGAGATTGATGCACGTGTAGTGAAAGCCAGAGCGGCTTATGCCAATCTTTGCCATCTGGCTGCAAAAGGTCGGATCTGCAACGCGTCGGTGAGAGCAGTTTTGCTCTATGCTTGTGAAACCTGGCCTCTCCGAGCTGAGGATGTCAGACGACTCTCTGTGCTCGATCATCGTTGTCTTCGAAGGATTGCTGACATCCAGTGGCAACACCATGTTAGTAATGCAGATGTTCGGCATCGTGTGTTCGGGCGCAGAGACAATAATTCAATTGGTGTCACCATCTTGAAACACCGACTTCGGTGGCTTGGACATGTTTTACGAATGTCGTCCCAGAGAATTCCACGTCGTGCATTATTTGCTGACTCTGGGACTGGTTGGAAAAAGCGAAGAGGAGGTCAGTGTATGACATGGTGTCGTGGTATGAAAGAATGCTGCAAATGGCTAGCTTCTGTTGGACCTTCACGAATCCCTGGCTGGGGTCTGAGAGATGGTTCAACACAGTGGCTAGAGACGTTATCAGATATGGCTCAGAATAGAAGCTAGTGGCGTGCCTGCTGTAATTTTCCTTTACTTTCTTCATAAAGAGTGGCTATAACTTTTCTAACTGAGAGAGCTCTTCTGGTTGTACATTTCAGTTCCCCCCATCATTACTATTCTTTTTTTATCCCTTTTTTGCTTCCTTTATATATACGCATCTTCCCCCTTTTCCCTCCCATTCTCATTATTTTGTGTGGTGCATATGTATCCGGTGCCCTTTGTACCAATATACATGTGATTAAATAACAAATAAAAAAATCCATTGGAATGACAACACAATAAGGATAGTATGAACGAGGGGTGTCAAAGCCAAAACATAGATATTGCATGAAATTTACGTTCCTAGCCATTTTTGTCAGTTGTAGCAATGATTATAGACAAAGCTATCTGCAACCAAGAAGTGTGAGGTTTTGCAAAAATAGATACTATTAACTGTTCGTTGTATATGTCCACCTAATTAAATTTCTCTAACATGTCTATTTTATCAAAAGTGGAATCTGTGTAATATGTATTTTGAACTGCAACGCGAACTGGACGCAAATTTATGGTTACAAGTTACAATTAAAGCTGGTGAATTGACGTACCTCATCTGCAGGCAACTGATCTTTGTATTCATTGATCTTTGACTCTGTATCATGAACTATACCTTCTGCTTGGTTTACTGATTCCACAAGGTCTCTACGCTTTTTGTCTACTTCTGCGTATTGTTCAGCATTGCGCACCATATTCTCAATCTCATCCTTGCTTAAACCTCCACCGGAACGTATGACGATCTGCTGTTCTTTACCAGTCCCTTTGTCACGTGCAGCTACATTGACAATTCCGTTGGCATCAATATCAAATGTGACCTCAATCTGAGGAACACCACGTGGAGCGGGAGGTATCCCCACCTATTAGAAACAATAAGCGAAGTAATACTTTCCGAAAAACGTGGCTGTGTAGGACATGGTACAATAACAAGTTACTAAGAACTCACCAGGGAGAACTGTCCCAGTAATTTATTGTCACTTGCCATTTCACGCTCACCCTGATATACTTTAATTTCAACCTGTGTCTGGCCATCAGCAGCCGTAGAAAACACTTGCGATTTTTTTGTGGGAATAGTTGTGTTTCTATTTATAAGCTTGGTCATAACACCACCCAGAGTTTCTATACCAAGTGACAAAGGAGTGACGTCAAGCAGCAGCACGTCTGTGACATCACCAGCAAGGACTCCACCTTGGATTGCCGCGCCCATAGCTACAGCCTCGTCTGGATTGACACTTTTACTGGGTGTCTTTCCAAATACCTTCTCAACTGTTTCTTGAACCTATTGATAATTCAGTTTTAGTAATGTATACACCTCACCTTCGGCATTCTAGTCATACCACCTACTAGTATAATTTCACCGATATCTGAAGGTTTAACCTCAGCATCCTTCAAGGCTTTGTTACATGGTTCGATTGTACGCTTGATTAGTGGTTCCACAAGATGTTCTAATTTTGCTCTAGTTAATTTGAAATGCATATGTTTGGGGCCCGCTTTGTCCATTGTTAAATAGGGTAGATTAATATCGGTTTGCAAGGAAGATGACAACTCAATTTTAGCTTTTTCGGCAGCCTCTTTGACACGCTGGAGAGCCATTGGATCTTTTGTGACGTCGATTCCATGCTAAAGAGATTAGCTTAAGTAATCGAACATTACCTCTCGCTGGAACTCCTTAATCAAAAAGCGTAGCAATTCATTGTCAAAGTCCTCACCTCCTAAAAATGTATCTCCATTAGTGGATTTCACTTCGAACACCCCCTTTTGAATTTCTAATACTGATATGTCGAATGTACCACCCCCAAGATCATAAACCGCTATCCTAAGCAAAACATAAGTATAATAGTGAATTTACGTTTTATCATCTGTTCGATCCAGACCGTAAGCTAAAGCCGCAGCAGTAGGTTCATTTATGACACGCAAGACTTCCATGCCCGCTATTTTTCCAGCATCTTTTGTTGCCTAGATTTACATTCAGGTGAAGAAAAAGGACAAATACCTGTCGTTGGGAATCGTTAAAATAAGCGGGAACAGTGATCACTACATTTTTTACTTTCGATCCTAGATAACTTTCTGAAAATCTGCTTGATAATGTGCACTAAGAAACGAACCTGCAGTTTCTTTCATTTTGATTAACACGAATGCACCTATCTGGCTGGGTGAATAGGCCTTTCCATGAGCTTCAAGCCAGGCATCGCCATTGGAGGCTTTAATAATCTTGAATGCAGAGTTTTTTATATCTTTTTGCACTTCTGGGTCGTCATACCGTCTCCCTATAAGACGTTTCGTTGCAGAAAACGTGTTCGCTGAGTTAGTAACAGCTTGTCTTTTGGCAGGTGCACCCACAAGCCTCTCTCCGTCACTCGTAAACGCCACTACCGATGGAGTAGTGCGACAACCTTCCGAATTTTCCAGAACTTTAGGCTGCTTTCCCTCCATTACTGAAACACATGAATTTGTTGTTCCAAGATCTATGCCAACAACATGTCCCTTAGGACTAGATGAGTAGAAAGAGCATAATGGCTTCAAATTTAAAAACTGAACAAAGACTTTAGGGAACAGGGACTAAAATACCTTATTAGTCACTTGTCTTGACAACAAATAACGAGACATCTTCGATGAGAAACTTAGTCGTGAGGTCTAGCACGAGCGCGAAGCGTGACCAAATAACGAAGTAAAACAATAGTGATGATCGTCGTCTAAATTTGTCATTTAGTAGGAAAAGTATTGATTTAGGTCTATATTGGCTATAGAAAGTGTTATTTCACGTAAAGAATGATGTTTCGATCTTGTTTTTGTCGTGGACTTGGAAAAGTCTTTTACAGTAAAATACCTGATTGTTCAATGAAGTGATCAATCCAACACAATGTGGGTATGAAGACATGAGATACAGTAACAGACATAATTCCTCTTTCCGATCACGAAATCAAAGAAGAGGAAGCCATTGAATGAGTCCATAGCGGCACATAAATCCCCTCAGCCAATAGCTCCTGAAGTCTTCGACATTTAATGCTGACCGCATTGGCTTTAGTGAGCTCATCTGGATGAAGGCGCTCGGTCAAGCATTTGAACCAGATCACGAGCGGGTAACCCGTGCTCAATTTCTCCTACAACCGCTAGTCAGTTTAGATCAATCACTTCTCGATCCATCGATAGCCTATCAAATATTATCTTCGAACCTCCTAGCTTCTGACTTATGATTTCACTGAGTGGGCACGATTCATGATGGAAGGTGTTACTGGTTATAGTGTTGTCGAGCTCCGAATACTCGTGGCATCTTTAGTGATGAGCCCGATGTGATCTGATATACCTGTTTGTGAACTGTGAGTCTGTCCCTTTTTGGATCTTTATATATCAGGATTTTTACTTTCATGTGTACATATTGTGACACTCTTTCCGTATTTTTGGGTATTTTTTTCTCGTTTATTGTCATACTTTATGTTCATCATGACCGAAAAAACTCCAAACTTATTTAAATTTAATACTCTTTCGCTACCCTCGCCTCAGCTGATGTCATTCCGGACAGACAACATCGAGGATCGGTTCTGCTACGCGGAAACCGACTCACGTGCACAGCCCCTCGCAGAAGTGGAGGCACTACCGCGCAAGTTCAACAGGTACGTCAAGCCTAGCATGCTCACTAGTGATGTCTGGGAACCTTATGAAACTGTGAAAAAGGCCATTCTTAAGCATAGAGGTCTAAGCGATCGACAAAAGTCAGATCAACTTTTTACCAACATCGACCTAAAACATGGCTCAGTAACAGACAAATTACTACGAATACGGGAGGTCATTGATCAACGGACCTTTGACGAGGACCCGTTTAGACAGCTTATCTAGCCTAAGCCTCCACAACAAGTGAAGACAGTGTTTGTTTCATTTCAGAGTATCCATTAGAATCTGGTAAGGTTCCTACCAAATCCAGATGAACGTGGTCGAAACAAGCATCAGGAGTTTTGAAAGCGCCTGAGGGACATTTGGTGTGTCTAATTACCTTAGATTTCTGGCAGCTTACACAAAAGCATGCCCACTCCCTCATATCTTTATTCATACCACGTCGGCAAAACCGTTCGGCTATAAGCTTGATGGATGCACGAACACTTGGATGAGGAAGTCTATGCAACGTAATAAAGACGTCGCGTCGATAATGTTTTAGTACGATTGGTCGATCCCTACATGTAGACAAGTCACAAAATAAGGTTTCCTTACCTGTTCCCATCTGTTTAAAGGTTGTTGAGGATGACTCGTGCTGAAGATCAGCGCCTTCGTTTTCAAGCTGAGCGAGTTTAAGAAGATCGATTCCTTGGAAAATGTTCAAGGAAGTTATACGAGACAAGGCATCTGAAACACATTGTTTGCTCCAGAAATGTGTTGTATATCTAAAGTAAACTGCAAAATGTAGTCCAGTTATCGAGACTCACGATGTGAGTATTTGTTTAAAGATGAGCTTAAAGAGGTGAGAGGTTTGTGGTTGGTGAGAAGGTTGAATTCTCGGCCTTCAATAGAGTATTGAGAATGGCGTGCAGAACAATATATCTTTAAGAGTTACCCGCAACAGTGCTTCACTTCTTTTCGGTGTCTAGTATCCGTCTCGAGAAAAATGTCAAAGGTTGCCGCTAGTGGTTAACTAATTGTCGCCGGACTTCTTCGACTGCTTAGTCGGATGCGTATACTGCGATACTAATGGACGCTTGAATGTCCTGATATGCCAATATGGTTGCCTTTGCAATAAGTTCCTTAACTGTGGCGAATTTTTTCCCACGGTGTCGTCCAGATTAATGGATTTCTCATTTCCACGAAGTCGGTCGGTTAGAGGCTTCGTATGTATGCTCATTTTGGTATGGGCCGTCTATAGAAACTTACAAGGACGTTAAATGTGCGCAATTACTTAATCGTGGTCGGTTCTGGGTAATTCAGAATGGCCACCACTCTGCTTCTAAGAGGCCAGATGACTTGCGCATCAACAGTGTGTCCTAGGAAATCTAAGGAGCCGGATCCGATTTGGCATTTCTGAATGTTTACAGTGATGTCATGCTTTTTCAGTCGTTCGAACACAATATCCAGATACTGGAGATAGGATTCTCTGTCCGGACTTGCTATCAGACAGTCGTCAACATACGCATGTACGAAGATGAGACTTCGGAATACGTCATCGATGAACCTCTTGAACGTCTGGACAGCATTTCTTAGGCCGAAAGGCATTCGCAAAAATTCATAGAGGCCGAAAGGAGTTATAATGGCGGTTTTCGGAATGTCGTCAGCAGCCATAGGGATTCAGTTATAAGCTTTAACTAAGTCGATTTTCGAAAAGGCAGTTGTGCCTTTCAAGGTAGCTGTCAAATCGTGAATGTGGGGCAACGGGTAACGATCGGGAATGGTTTTGCATTCAAACGTAGATAGTTAGCAGTCAGACGCCAGTCGTTGCTGTCGTTTTAGGGACCATGTGCAAGGGAGATGACCATGGGCTGTTTTACGGTCGAATGATTCCTAACTCTATCATGCGACCAAATTTGTTTTTGGCCAACCTCAGCTTTCCGGGAGCCTTTTGACATGCTTTCAGGAATACAGGTGATCCAGTAGTCGTGATGCGATCTGTACCATTGCTGGTTACACACGGCAATTTCGGTCGCGGTTGGTATATTACAGAGTACTTATGGAGTAATGGTTGATGGAATGGGTCCATTGTGTGCCTAATTGTGATTGGGGATATTCTCTAACCGGAAAAGGAAGTTACGAAAACAGACAAATTAGCGTTTCCGTCTACTAGTCTACGTTTGCGTGTTTCAATGAGTAAATTATGGTGCTGTAGTACGTCCATAGTAGTGATTGTTATACAAACGTATGCAACAACGAAGATGCAGTGAATGGGTTTGCGTAGACCCCCTTTAAGGTAAACTTACCTTTTACCATGTGTGGCAGTGGCTTTGACGTCTGTAAGTTTAAAACAGGTTCATGGGGCTGGTCGTTGGAATTAGCGGGAAAGACGCTAACCTCTGGGCCAATGTCGACGAGGTAGCGCACTTTAGTTATCACATCTGTGACGTATAACAGACGGCTATGTTTGACTGCTACTGTTGCCGCTAACGCATGTCGGCTGGGAAGTTTTCCGAATTGTTTGTCGTGTCGTTCGATTTTGAGTACGGATAATTACATGGTTTCTTGCGATTTCTGGAACACTTTCCATACTGATTGTGATACCAGCACCAGTCGGGGTTATCCGCCTCTCACTGTCAAGAGACAGATCGTCTACGTGAAGTGCTTCTTCGAGGGGTATATGACCGTTCACGGCCATTACGAAATGTAAGACAACATGGGTGTGACAAAATTCCGCAATGTCATCCCGGGTCGTTTGAGGTTTTTCTTTGACTGAAAACACCTTGGCATTAGAAGATTTCGTGACTTCTAGGATGTGGGCGGCATATACAGTCAGCTCGTTTACGGCGTTGTATTAAAACGAGACCAGCCATCATCGAAAGTTCATTAACCGAAAACCTCTCTCATTCTTAGCAACATATCTGTCACAGAACCACGTTGCAGGTCCGTATTATTGAGGAGTTGGTCTAACCTTTGTCAATCGGTCAGATCTTTGCGTTTAAGTGTTTCGTAGGGTTCGGAAACATCACTACTAGATATACTAAGTATGACGTACCTGTTGAATTCGCGCAGTAGTGCCTTGTCTACTACGAGGAACTGTGCACGTGTGTCATTCAGGATGTGCTTGAAGAAGTCGAATTCTGCATAGCAGAACCAGGCCTTGATGTTATCTGGCCAGAAGGGCATTAGTTGAAACGAAGGTGGGACACAGTCTTTAATTTAAATACCTTGGGTATCTGTTCCGTCATGGTGAAATATTAAGTATGAGAATGAACGAGGGGAAAATATCCAAAAACTCGAAACATTCAGTGTGTTAAAATAAAAGCAAAGCAATTATTTATGAAATTACCAAAAGGAACGGACTCACGCTTTTTGTAAGTTGGTGTGCCAGATCACGTTAAGAATCGTGGCAGATTGAAGGAAATATTAATGAATCGTGTAAAATGAACGAAAATGGCAATCATCATTCACATAAAAGATTCCACGAATAACGATCCAACCGTGTGAACGTGGAAGCTTACCTGAGACTGACTGCGATGAGTGGTTTTATACCCAACATTGTAATGTCATCTTAATGCATTGCAAACTGGAATAATGGTCATGTTTGCATTCATTTAGTCATTTTATTTGTCATAATTTGATGTATTTTTATTTTAAAAAACTATATTATGCTGTTAATTTTGCTCTGTAATTTTTTAATTAGTGACATCTGACTGCGTCACGTCAGACATGTATTGCATTCTGGAATAATATCACAAGTCATAGTAAACTCAATCAAATTGTCGTTTTCTAAAAGCAGATTGTCAATGAATAATGCTACTGGGGAAAGGTTTGTTGTGCTGTAAACAAGGTTTTTGTGCGTAAATTATTGTTGTCTTCAGTCTCAAACCAATGTCGTTTGTTTTTCGTTCTTTCCCACAAAAATGACTTGCTCAATACATCAAAAGTGACATCCTTTATTTGAGAGTTTATACTAAATAAAGGAAAAGCGAACAAACATTTAGCAATAATATTCGATATGTCGTTGAGGCAGTCTAGACCGCCAAGATACTGGAAAGACTCGATAATCAGTTCTGTTTATAAGACAGGGATCAGAGACTTCATTATTATCAACTTCTTAGTCTAACCAGTGTAGTTCTCAAACTGTTGCGAAAGATTATTTCGATGGCTATTCTAAACTATGTGGAATGGGATATCCCTTTTTTATCTTTTATCCGGTGCATAACATAGTTTCAGAAAAGGCCTATCAGGCTCGATAAGTCTTTTCATTGCATGAGAAGACTGGACTGCAGCAAAAGATGGAAATGCTCCGATAGATGTATTTTCCATAAATCTAAGCGAAGCCTTTGACAAGGTCTATCACATGGTACCTAAACTAAAACTGGAAAGTATCAGAATCCATTACGAAATCATAAATTGGATAATCAACTTTCTCAGTGATAGGAGACAACGTGTACGGGTAGATTTAGCTCTATAAGCATAGTAATCTGTAAAAAGGGAGTCCTTCCCTTTTTTGCTCTATGTAAATGACATACAAACTGTGGTAAGGTCATCTGTTTAACACTTTGCACATGAAATTGGGAGCCCAAACACGTTAAGACAGATAGGGTAATATTACAGGATGACCTAAATTCACTGATTTAATGGATGTGTAGATGGTCATTAGAAGTTAACTCTATCAAATGTGATGGTGCGAATAAATAACTGCGACGATTCATATCACTATGCAATATTTGGTGTTATTACATAAAGTAATGGACTATAGAGATATAGGAGTCATTATAAACAACAACCTCAAAACGGCAGGTAACTAGAAGGATGGAGCTGCCAAAGGCGGATGCATGACCGAACGCCTTCAGTCAAACAAGTCCACTAAAACTAATGTGGTCAGCATCCGATGTCGAACACTTAAAAAGCTATTGATTTTGGGGAATTATTTACAGCTACAGTTTCATTACTTGGATATAGAAATTTTTAGGGTATTCACCCGACTTTAGTGGAGCCGCATTTGGAATATGAGATCTACGTGGCTAGTATTTGTTCGAAGTATGAGTTGGACATGTTAGAGCAAGTTCAACGAGGGGGACCACAGCCTCAGCCTATTACCGTCATATTACTGCAGGTTACGGGGTGATCTAATTACCAGCGTATCATATACTGAACGATGTTCTTAGTATTAAGATGTATTACCTTTTCCCTCCATCTAAGAATGATAATCTAGGAAGACGTTCTAAGAAAGTCCGAGAACGGAGATCAAATAGTTTACGTCTGGAGTTTTGTTTCTCTCACTGGGCAGTGAATTGCTAGAATTCTTTACCAAAATACAATATCAACATCTGTTTAGTTATTTATTTAAACACATAAATGTTGGTACAAAGGGGCACCAGATAAATATGCGCCTCACAAATCTCATTCGATTTGTGTGAGGGCTGTGATACTGTCCAGGTGCCCAGACCGAAGCAGGTGGTTTTCTTAGGGCGCCACACCCGAAGCCTTGGACCTAAAGATCTGATCCACAAGGCAGTGGAGCATCGTAAGGAGATGCAGTCCCATGGTAGCCGGTGATCAACGATTGATTCGTACGCCATTTGTTCCTTCAGGATACTGGAGCCCATGTGCACCATTGGTTTGGAATCAAGGTTTTTCAACTCCCCTAGGTGGATCCTAAACATCCACCAACCCGGTTAAAGCGCCGGACATTCGCTTTTCGTCCTCTCAATTTCGTAGGCAACACCCCCTCCGCGAGAAGGCAGGAAGTAGGACTTCCCTGACAGATGCTGTATACGCGTGGCCATATGAGAGCATTTGGAGAGGGAGAGCGGATTCCCCCCACTCTCGGTCGTACCAAGACATCTGGGGACAAAAAATATGGAGCTCTTCACGAATTCGCGTGTCATCCCTGCGCAGGGGCCACGCTAATCTCCTCTGTGTAGTTCCAATTTTAGTATATGTACCGTCGAGGTGAGTTTGGATCTCCACAACACTACGGGATTAATATAGGTCGATTGACTTCTTATCCTTACTACTTAATACTAAAATCTTCTGATAGAAGTTCTGTCTTCTGAGAAAAATGGCAAGTCATCTGACCTGCGTTAAACGTTTGGAGCGGAGATCCAGCTTCTCTTTGAAAGAGTTCACTGGTGGGGATGATGACGCCTGTTCGCGTAGAGCACTCTGGAACACACCTTCTAGTCATTGACCAATCGGTTAAAACAATGGAATCTCACTGAGTTCATTTGGTCGAGGTTTTTTAATATTCTTGTGGCCTCGGAGATAATTAGTTCTGGAGGGAGTTAGACGATACATGTTCATGTTCAGCCCATTAATTAAGGCGCGGAATATAAACCAAAGGTCACCTTGCAATATATATATATATATATATATATATATATATATATATATTACAAGTGCTGTTTGTAAGACGGTTTGGAAAAGCCTGTCATTATCTTAGTTGCTTTACGTTGAGCGCGCTCCAGTGTGTTAACATCCTTTGTAAGACTTGAACTTACTGGTGAAATGCAATACTCTAAGCGACGTCTCGAATAGATCGAGCATAAAACATGAATAGTATGTTTGTTAAGTCGTTTGAATCTTCAGTGAAGTGACTATAACAATTGAAGACCTCTGAGAATTGCTGGGTTGCAATCCGTAGTTGTTTTCAAGTCATGACTCACTGGTATCCCTGTCTTGTTGTTCCTGCTCTTTTGTGACTCCTGCTGTTCCAAAGCCCTTAAAGCTTTGCGTAAGCCCTCATCGATACACATCAAACTATTTGAATATCACATTGGACAGTGGTATTGTTTCACGTTGAGTTTAATTCACTGTTTTGATCGTAAATTACGTATCAAAACTACCGTTTACACTTTAATTGAATTTATTTCAGTTAACGTGACATTGTATTTGTGTGTTTTGATCCTGCTTTTGTGTATTTACTGCATCAAAGCATTCTTTGTCGACTGAGGCTTGTTTATTTGATAAGGTTGTGATTTATCTTACATATCTACCTTGCCTATCATTTTGCTTTATTCTAAGATGGTCGGCTCTGTACACAAGTGTGGACAGCCATATTGCTTATTCCCCGTGGAAGAAGGGATGCAGTGTGACGATTGTAAGAAGTGGTTTCATAAAATGTGCACCCGCTTAAGCCCTGTTGCCTATAAAAGGTGCTCGAAACCAAATTCTCATTGGTTCTGTATGTTTTGTTGCTCAAGCAAGATATTACTCATTCAGGAAGCCATCAGCCTTCTAGCGTTAGCTAAAAAGGTCGAAGTAGGCCGTGCCGGCGACATGGATACTGATAATAAAGATTGTATCAGTGTCGTAAATGCTGCCATGGCAGGTACCAGACACCCAATTTCGCAACATGAAGCAAAAATTTGTACTCCGGTACAACCAGTGAAAGCCATGCCATTTAGTACTGAGGGACCAGTCGCTTTAGCAGCGACTGAGGACCCGGCTAGAACCACTATCGTCCAGAATAGTTCCAATCTGGATGCTGAGAATAGTGGTAAATGGATTACGCGGAAACGCAAAAGAGACGGAAAAATACCCAAAGAAAGCGCGCGTATAGTCGGTAAGTCATCGTTGGACTTACGTCCTGAGCATCAGGCAATTCCGCTCAAGTCCAAATGTAAGGAAATATTTAATACTGTTGTGGATGGAAATAGTCTAACTTCACCAAATGTTGTTGGGAGTAACTCACTTGACCCACATGACACTGTAATAAAGAAAGCTAATAGCAAAAAGCCGGTAGCTAACCGGCAGGATCTGACATCACGGTCAAAGGCCGTGAACACGACTTTTAAGGCAGTTAAACAGGTGCCTAGTGTAATCATCTGGAACTTGGCAGAATCGAAAGACACCGATCCCGCTAAGAGACATGCCCACGACCTGAAGTTAGTCGGATCTCTCATCAGAAATATACTGCCAGAGGAGGTCCCAGGGGTACATATATCGAAAGTCATCAGACTTGGTAAGTATGTTGGAGGCGAAACCCAACAGAGAAGGATCCTCAAATTAGTACTCGGTAATTTTGAGGAAAGGGACGTATTACTAAATAACTCACGCAAAACTCGTGACTCAAACATTCGTATTCGACCTGACTGGCCACTTGAGGATCGGATCAAGTGGAAGAATGCTCTAACAGAGTTAAAAACTCGAAGGCTAAACGGTGAAGCGAACCTTACGATTAAGGGTTTTCATGTTGTCAGGTCTTGGAAGCCAATGCTTCCGAGACCTGTGTGGGTAGAACGCATGTCTCCAAAAACACCCTAAATGTGTGTTATACGAATGCTCGTAGTCTTCGGAATAAGATGTCTGAACTAAGTTTGATGGTAGACGACTTAAATCCGGATATAATTGTTATCACCGAAACTTGGCTCACTGTAGATATAGACTGTTCTCCAGTCATTTCAGGCTACATCTGTGTCAGAAGTGATAGAGTTAGAAGTCGCAAGGGAGGAGGCATAATATTATATATTAGGGACCACTTCCGCATTAACTCGATCATATCGGAGGCGCATGTAAGTGGTACGTGTGAGGTAGTATGTTGTACAATTAGGTCTAGAAACGGGTTAGTGACGATAGGAGGAATATATCGTAGTCCGTGTTGTCTCACTGACGACTTTATCCTAAAACACGTCTGTTCTTGGAGTAAAGCAGAATGTTGTCTCATCGTTGGAGACTTCAATGCACCCCATATAAACTGGATAGAGCTCACAGCTCCAGGTGGGGGGTTTTGATAGCGTCCTTCTGTCATCAATTATTCAATGTGCACTTGTACAATGTATCGTTAAGCCGACGCATATAGACTTGGAACATAATCCGTCATTGATAGACCTTGTCCTCACACACCACTGTGAAGATATCGTTGACATTCAACATCTTCCCCCACTGGTGAACAGTGACCATGTCGTACTTTCCTTTAAGTTCCGGATACATGGTATAAAATTTGCATCTGCTTCACCCCGTCCTAATATCTGGAGAGCTAATACTCCGGCAATCAGGGACTATGCTATCTCGATTGACTGGTTGGTCGATGCTGATGGATCGATTGATGATGCATGGAATAGGTTTAAGTCTACGTTCGAATCCGTAACTCAACCGTTTATCCCATGGTCAGCACGTAAGTTATCATATTGCCCTCCATGGATTAATAAGGAAACCCGGAAGCTGTTGAAGCGTAGGAAACACTTCTGGGACTTATTCTTGTCAACAGGTCAGGCATCATTTAAGTGCGAATATAAAAAAATCCGGAATATATGTAAAAAGACCATAGCTAAATCCCGCACGGCTTACGAACAACAGTTGGCATACGATAGCCGTACCTGTCCGAAGCGACTGTTTTCGTACGTTAAAAGGCGGACGAAACGTAGTGATGGTATCCCCTCATTACTGTTAAGCGAAAATTCAGCTTTATTGGCTGAATCTGATCTGGTGAAAGCGGAGTTATTTGCTAACTATTTCAGTGAAGTCTACTCTACGTGTAGTGTTACAACTACTTGTCCCGTTGACAATGAGATACCAGCCATAGGACCTTCACACGTGACAGAGGATATAGTTCTTCCTTTGATAACTAACCTAAAACCTTGTAAGATACCGGGCCCCGATGGGTTACACCCACGTTTGCTGTCGTCGCTTGCGGACATTATCTCAAGACCGCTCACGATGCTCTTCAACATGTCCCTTTCACAGGCTCAACTACCTAGAGACTGGAAAGACGCCATAGTTAGTCCTATATTTAAGGATGGTCAGAGACGGATAGTATCTAACTACCGGCCTGTTAGCCTGACCAGTATAGTAGTTAAGTTACTTGAAAAATTAATTCGGGCTAAGCTACTGAGCCACATAGACTCGTACAATCTGTTAACTCCCGAGCAACATGGGTTTCGTAGCAAGCATTCATGCTTGACTAACTTACTCATTGCGAGAGAGGATTAGACAGCTACCCTAGACAACGGCCAGTCTGTCGACGTGATATTTATAGATTTTAGCAAAGCGTTTGATAAGGTTTCACACTTAGGTCTTATGCAAAAGCTCTCGAGCTTTGGTATAACAGGTGCTATACAGGAATGGATAGGAAGCTTCTTATGTGACCGCAGACAGAGAGTGAGAGTCAATGGAACTCTATCCGAATGGAAACCGGTCAGAAGTGGTGTACCCCAAGGCACCATCTTGGGCCCTTTACTTTTCCTTCTGTATATTAATGAACTACCTTTATTACTTAAGTCGTCGACGTTATTGTTTGCGGATGATGTTAAAATCTGGAGAACAATAAGAAATGAGACTGATCGTTGTTATCTACAAGCAGATTTAGACGAATTAGTTGGGTGGGCTCATGATTGGGGCCTGGAAGTTAATTCCAGGAAGAGCGTGTTCATGCACATCGGGCACGATATTAGTTACCACTATACCATTAATGGTACATCTCTGCCACGCGTTCATGCGCATAAAGACTTAGGAGTAATTATAAGTCACGACTTAAAAACTACTACGCACTGCAATACGGTTGCTTCCAAAGGCTATCGAGCGCTATGGTCGCTTCGCAGAGCATTTAAATGCTTTGACGAGGATATGTTTCGAATTTTATATCCCACCTATGTAAGGCCACACTTAGAATACTGTATCCAAGCAGCTAGCCCTTGTCTGATAAAGGATACTAAATCTCTTGAGCGTGTCCAGCGTGTAGGGACAAAATTAGTAGAGGGTCTTTCCAAACTCCCTTACGATGAGCGTTTAAAACGTCTAAATCTTTTCCCCTTATCTTATCGTAGGACGCGAGGTGACCTTATACTGGCATTTCGTATCTTTAATTATGATCTGGGTGTTAATATGTCTTACCTTTTTGCTCCCTCCAGCACTAATAATCTCCGGGGTCATAGCAAGAAGGTTCTGAAACCGCGATCTAATAAACTAAAGGTGGGGTCCCGTTTTTCTCATCGAGTGGTCAATGACTGGAACGCTTTACCAGAACAAGTGGTATCAGCACCATCAGTGAACATTTTCAAAAAGAAGCTGGACCTTCACTGGAAGGAAATCTGTCAGGATTAACACAGGTTCATCAACCTACTATCCTTATTACTGAAGACTGATTGGCAGTCAAACTACTATCTTCGGCTGCTGTCCAATCCTCTCTTGATTGGTTAGTTAATCATAAATATTGAGACTCGTTTTACTCAGAAGTTAACAGATTGCATGATTCTACATGACTTAGTAAATTATTCCGGATTGTTTTCTCAGACACCTTAGTTACTGTGCTAGGTGGATCGATAGTTCAGTAGTTAGAAACGATGTTTCCTACCACACATAAGTATAGGACTAGCGATAGCATTCTTTCAATCTCTAGAGTTTGGAAAAGAGACATGCTAAACGTTACCGTGAGTTTTTCTGAAGTAATTCCCGGGAGAAATAATAGCAATCGTAAGTGCAACCCGTCGGGCCCCGGTGACTTACAAGCACTGGTACTGTGGCTGGTATCTCAGTAGCGTGGTTACGGGGATAACAAAGCCCACAGAGTAGACCTCTCTAAAATAGTTTGACAAAATCTCAGCTTTGGCCGTGTTTGAATTCTAGTGTAATGGTAATTGGGGGAATCCAATACTACGTTTTGTTCTTTGCATAAAATACGAAAACAATCGTTCTGGGCAGCTATGGCTATCATGTGTCGAATATCTTTCTTAAGTAGTCAGGAGTCTAGCTATAGCCTTTTTACGTATATTCTTGACTTTTCGGTACTCACACTTAAATAATTCACGACCAGTGTTAGCAACAGGTCCCAAAAATGTTTCCTACTCTGTGTCAGTTTTCAAATTTCCCTATCGATTCATGGAAGGCAATTTTATTGCTTACGTGTTGACCGTGATATGAACAGCGATGTTATGACATCAAATATGTCTTCATGCCCACTTCATTCGTATTCAATCAACTCATCTAAATAGCCGACCAATCTTTTGAGGTAGCACAGTCTGTGTTTGCTGGAATGTTGGAATAGAAAGGACAGATGCTAGTTGTTTGGGTTTTACGTTCTTTTTTAGTTTTAGATACCGCAAGGTGATTTTTGTTTCTAATAAAAAGTCATTTGAGTCTTAACTAATCGTACACTCTTTAGTGTAACAGTGCTATCCTTTATTGCTATCTCAATTTCTTGCAAGAACAAATAATATATGTCTTAATGCTAATTGGCTCGGTAGTATAAGTTAGTTTAACTCCCACATTCAGGAGGATAGTTTTGTAATAGCTAATCAGTTAACTGACATCAGCTATTTGACTAATATTTTTGTGCATTTTAGCCTTCAAATGGATGCACGCTTTACCGCGGCGTTGTCTATATGGATTCATAAACCCCAAGTTGTACATAAAGATGTATTTGCTTCATCTGTTGTATCCGAAACTGATGAATCCTTTGTAAGGGTTGTCTATCCGAAGCTCCGTACTGGGATCAGTGAATTCACTGAAGTTTGTTCCAAAGGATCAGTTTATAAGTTTTCATCTATCTCGATAACTTATATTGTCGAGAAAACAAAGTAAGTTTACTCTATTGTGCTGATTAGAAGTGGTCGCATCCGAGTTTCCGTCTTGGATGAGTCTTCTGGGTTTTTCCACAGTTCTTGGCTGAAAGACGTCCTTGAACAAAAGCTCAATCTTTGGTATTCTTGTGATGCAAAAGTTAATATTCCTTCACTCTCACTAATTGATTGCCGTCAATATCAACTGCAATACGAACGTTTGAAAAATACTTATGGACCTACTCTAGTTAAGGTATCCATTAAAATTGTGATTGACTATTTTTAGTAGAACTGGTCGGAGAAAACAGACCCAATGAAATTCGTGTATGAAGATATTGGTATAGCTTGCTACCTTATAGTATGTCAAATTGCATAATAAATTTATGTTTGTTTAGTGTTTATGGAAAAATGAACATGTTAATTTCGTTGATCTTGGTTGTGGGAACGGATTGTTGACTTACATACTTACATCTGAAGGAGTAAGGTACTTTATCCCTTATTCAGCAAGTTCACTGGTATAGGAATAGATGTACGTAAAAGGCACATTTGGAAGTCTTATCCACTATATATACAACAACGTTTAAAGGTATATTTATTGTGCTTTCTTAATCCCTGAATTGCATTTAATCTTTTAATTCTCGGTGTATTTCAAATCCCGATTTGATTTTCTTACGGAATACAAAACTGTGTTTTAAGTTCTTTAACCTTAGTAGCTGTCAACCATTGTTTTAAATGATATTATGTAATATTTAGTTCGTATAATTTTATGTAATTTGAAAAATAAATCCTAGGAAGGTGATGTTAATATACAGCTTGCGATCATTTTAAATAAAACTGGCTTCCCGTACACCAACTATTTTTCGCCTATAAAACTAGCTAAGCATTTTACTTTTTAGAATATTTGAGTTAAAAAAATCACAAGTAAGGATATTATACCTGGGTTTCACTCGTGGTAATTCAAATATCATGGTCGACCTAAAAGTCATTATTTTCTATCTTCAAATGGTGGATCTCTTAATTAGTAGGAGACTTTGACGTCATATGTAAGTGATATCGTCGTCCTGTGTAATGAATAACCAAATTTCACCTGCAAATTTGAAAAAGCCATAAATAACATGAAGCAATGGGAAATGGCACAATATGACACATTAATTTAGTGGGCCTAAATCGATAATTGGTCTAGTTCGTAAGAAGAGACAAACCCTCTTGTGAAATAACCATAAGACAACCAATTAAACCAACACAGTTTCTAACATCATCTAAATTCTGAGTAGTTCTTCGGGATAGTAAACTCGAAGAAAACGACCTATTTGAAGATCGCAAAAGTTGATCATAAGAAGCTAAGGGTAGCTCAATCATAACCTGGCACCAGTTCATGAAGCCACTGGTTGTCAAGCTGATCATTGTTGATAAACTCAGATTCCTCAACCGGGTTTCTCTAGTTAAAGACCTGTTAACATTCCTCGTTCGCAATCATACATATTCAGTCAATATGGCTGGGATCTGTCGGTAAGTCAAGATTCCCCTGTCGGGTCTCTAAAGATCTTGCAGCTCGGTTCCTCAAAACGTTATCACATGTGAATCAGCATTTAAGCCAGTGACGATCGTAATGTAGTTTCCTACTACACTGTTACCAATATCGAGATAAACTTACTTAACTGAAAGAAATGTTGATTGTGTTCTTAATTGAGCTTTATCCCATATTAAATACTTTTTCTGTTTATTTATTGATTGTACTACCCTTCTCTCATTTCTTTACAATATCATGGCTTCATTTGTCCGGCACATTTATTTGTGCTCTATTATACCAGAACATAAATATATTTCTATTGGGAATATGAACAAAAAAATCACTGTTCTTCATTTAACAAAACCAGAGGAATTCATATAATCTTATATCACTTCAGATATCCGACCCAACTCTTGTTTCTTTTTGGTCGTTTCTATTTTTCTATGGTTAGCTCCATATTCTTGCTCATTATATTTGTGTAGTATCGGCTAGGAGTAATAGTTTTATTCTGATCCAGTCCGCCAGCTCCAGTAATCCAGTTTTTTTTAAATTGTATTCTTTATAATTAAAAGTCATTTATAATGTTACTCAACTCTGTAAACTCTCGCTACCAATATTTCATATTTTAGGAAATTTCGTTGAATCCAGAAGATGTGTGTGGGTTTCCACAAGCCAACTGGCTAATCGGGAATCACAGTGATGAACTTACACCTTGGTTGCCTATACTAGCATGTAAAAGTGGACCATCGTGCAAGCTATTTGTTTTACCATGTTGTCCTTACAGTCTTTTTGGAAAATTCAATATCCCGAAGAGTTCACTTTCGTTTTTACCTGACGACATAAATGTCAAACACATAACAGAAAGTAGTCGATATGGAACATATCTTAATTATATACAACAAATTCTTGCCATTTGCAGATTTGTACCTGAAGTTGATGCGCTCAGGATACCATCAACTAAACGTGTAGGCTTGTAATTATTAGTTATTTGTCGAATATATATATATATAATGTGAAATTGCAATATGCCCTGTTGTCAGTAACTCAAAATAAAAAAATATCAATTGTATTTCTACAAACAACCTGGTGGCTGAAAGATGAACCATAATTATGTGTGAGTTACGCCACGAACCTTGTTAGACTCAAAATACGTTGTAACTATGTTGGCAGTTGCAGCTGTCTACAGTTGTGTATGTCATCTAAAAACGAACATGAAGATTTCTCACTTAGTATTGTTGCACAGTTTTACTCTGTGGTCATTAATTCATTGGTTGTGATAAAGCTGGTGATATGTCGTATATGGCAAGGAGAGTGTAGTTGAAACGGTTGCTATAATGTTCAATTCATGGAGCTGGATTCAATAAATGAGACTGCTTAATTTGGTCATAAACTTAAAGCTATAGACTGACGAACTAATAGGGTATTTATTGTTCGAGACAGTCATTTGTTTAGTTTGGCACCGACAGCTGTATCCGATCGTTCATTGTTTGGGGTTGCAAACAATTTTTTTAGTCTTACTTAACTTTATCTGTTTATTTTGTATCGGAATTTTCTTAACTACTTTAGCTAATATCATAGTGTTCTCTAGCTGTTGTAGTGCACTATAGTATGATATCACGGCTATCTGCAATCTCACAGATCACGAAAACGTAAAGCTATTGATTCAGCGACCTAGTTTCTCTTTAAAACCCACTAGCCAACGTAATCTGTATCACTAATTGATAGAAAGTTTTGGAAGAATAAATAGTTTAGTTTTCTTCTAAAATCAAAGAACACGCACTAGCATAATGTAGTAAACATTTGCTTCGCATTGGTCCAGTGACATTTCTGTAAGTCAACAAATAAAATGGATTTCCTGGTAATTTCATCTCGTTTTAAACGATGTATTCCAACTATTTGTGAAATTCACATAACTTTCTACTGTTTATTTTATTTATTTAAACACATAAATGTTGGTACAAAGGGGCACCAGATAAATATGCGCCTCACAAATCTCATTCGATTTGTGTGAGGGCTGTGATACTGTCCAGGTGCCCAGACCGAAGCAGGTGGTTTTCTTAGGGCGCCACACCCGAAGCCTTGGACCTAAAGATCTGATCCACAAGGCAGTGGAGCATCGTAAGGAGATGCAGTCCCATGGTAGCCGGTGACCAACAGTTGGTTCATACGCCATTCGTTCCGTTAGGATACTGGAGCCCATGTGCACCATTGGTTTGGAATCAAGGTTTTTCAACTCCCCTAGGTGGATCCTAAACATCCACCAACCCGGTTAAAGCGCCGGACATTCGCTTTTCGTCCTCTCACTTTTGTGAACAACACCCCCGCCACGAGAAGGCAGTGAGTAGGACTTCCCTGGCAGAGGCTATATATTCGCGTGGCCATATGAAAGCATTTGGAGAGGGAGAGCAGACTCTCCCCACTCTCGGCCGTACCAGGGCGTTTGGGGGCAACTTTCTACTGAGTGATTGTTGACTCTAGTTTCTATTTTCTTAAATGTTATTTTTATGTTTCTTTATTTTAGATATGTATTGTTGGTCGAGATATAATCGATTCAAAGTACTCTGATGTTAATGAACACTCAGATCGTTTGTCTGCTGTTAATAAATACATTGAATACGAACGTGACATCACTTCAAAACCTAACAAAACGTTTGTTGTGCGTCCACCCACAGAGGTTTCCTATAACTGTGCAAAAGTTTCGAAATCTGTTCTTGACAAAATATCACATACAGTTTTCAAAGCCTTATTAATCTGTAAGCCAGATAAATATAATTTACAATCCCATAATCTAATGCTTTCTGATGATTTAAAAGTACGAACTTTGGACAATCGTTGGTGGAATCCTGGTGGTAAGGTTTCATAACAGTTTTATTGGTAGATACTTTTTCAAATAGTATCCAATTTTTCACTGGAATGTTGGAAGTTCAATAAGTCCAAGGGTAGATTGAGCGTAAGATAAATAGGGGTCTAAATTATCATACGAATCACTGAACGGTTAAAAGTGCGTTTCACACTATTGACAGAGTGATACATAACCTGTCTCTATTCAGTATGACAGCTAACGTAAAAAAGGAGGCGTTAATAAGTAGTTCAACTTAACTTCTTGAACAAAAATACATACTACTGTTTTTGTATACAATCAAAATCTAATGATCGTGTATAACTATGATTAGTCCTTATTCATATTTACCCGTAAGATTTTACGACGAGTCTAACTCCCGTGACTTCTAAATAAATAATATATTTGTAATATCCCAATTAGTAGAAAAATTAGATTTTCTGACGTTTCGCGACTCAATGTAAGACACTTCTTCAGAGAATAAATAAATAGTACAACGGAATGTGTGACCTTTATAGTGATAAAGGATAGAGTTTAATCTAATTTTTCTACTCATTGGGATATTACAAATATATTATTTATTTATAACAATCTACCCAATGCTCAATTTATTCGAAATTATCAAGTCAAACCTTGGTAATGATACATACTTCCGTGACATCTCTTCCCACCGCCTAACATATTTGATATATAAATTATATACTAATTGCCTGCCGTTTCTCCAGAAATTATAAGAGGAGGAAGGCATATTGATCATCTTGATGGTGCCCCTCGAGTTACTCTGTAATTAAATTTATGATAGGTTGTGTGGATTTTATGAAAGCGCGTAAGAACGCTCGACCGACAGACATAATTTATTAATTATAACAAATTGAAAACAGGAGAGTTTATGGCAACATATGCTCGTCTAAGAAAACAGTAACCCAGAAGTTTGTGCAGGTCGTTTTTTCCGATGGTTTTATACTCTGCAGAGTAGATATAATTTACATTTGTTTATAAAACTCTTCATATTATTAAGGTATCCAAATAGTCGAAAAGCAAACATCAATAAACGATCACATCACACAAATTTTGTGGAACTGATCTAAATTATGCTTAATTATTAATAACCACCTAACTGTTTGCTAGTCTAGATAACTAAGTAATATAAGGACGTGGCTTTTTTGTATACTCATTACTTACTTACGCCTGTTACTCCCAATGGAGCATAGGCCGCCAACCAGCATTCTCCAACTCACTTTGTCCTAGGCTCTCCTTTGTTAGAAGGGGCATCGGCCTCGTGACTTCCGAAGAATCTCGGCTTTCATCATGAGGCGTCATAATCCTTACTTCAACTCCCAGGGCAAAGTTTAAATGGTTTGAATAATTTTTTATGGTTAGCTTTTTTTGCGAGTTAGTTCTCTACAGGATGGAGTCGCTAACCCCATGCCCAACCCTCCCCCTTTATCCGGATTTGGGACCGGCAGTATCCCCCGAAGGAGCTACAGGTGGAGTTCTGTATACTCATAGGGAGTATGATTTATCCTATACGAGACTCGATGTTGTTTTATGGAACTATTCTTTAGTGGGGTTTGCTTGAGTTCGTCGTTCATACACGATGAACACTATATCACTTGTGTATCAGCTAATACTATGTAGCCATTTCAAAGCGTCTTGTACTGTATATTATTGGAGCTTTGTATTCTGCTAAGAAACACTTCATAAACGAAAAGTGGATATCTCATTTTGGCTTTGGATTTCACTGCTATCATTGTTTACATCACTCTTGACTAACTTTTGTGAAATATGTTGACTTTCTGTTTATTGAAGCCTAGTTCCATCATGACTCAAGATTAAATCTTATCAAAATCACTTATATGAAAACACTTTTACTTAAACTAGTCACTATGACAGTGATAAATAATCTTATATTTCTGAATTTGTTCTGTTATCCGCTCGATTGTAGTGAATTCATAATGTTCTTCATTCATCCAGCTATTGCATGAAGACAGTTTAGATATTGAATTTATTGATCACTAAATTATATCTAATTGCCTACTGTACACATTGATATACTTATTTTGTTGGAACTTCACATTTTATGCAAAAGTGATCACAGAACTATGTTTTACTACCATTCTGTATGATGATAAATATGTTTCCAGTACTAACTTGAGTATCTCTAGTTTTTTTTGCACGATTGTACTGATGCTTTTCTCTCAAATATATTGACTTATTACAAAAGATAGAATATGGGAAAAAATCAGAATAAAATATTCTTCCCTCCTAATAAGGCACATTAACTTTATCAGAGTGCAGTGAACTTGTATCATTGGATGATATGAAGTTATTAAAATCTCAGCATGGTGGTTTGCAAACTGTCTTGAGGAATCACCACCAGTGTTTTCGAAGTGAGTTAACATAAAATTAACTAAATAATCTATGTGATCTGTATATTTTTCATGCAATTTTAAATTGTATATGTATCTTAAAAATTAGCAGTCCCAATTGTGACTAGTGTTTCAATGCATTACTCCTGATTTTTCTTAAGTACACACCATTTAGTGGGATAAACAGTGTAAAAAATAGATGATTTAAAAAAGTTCTCGATAGTACTCTCTAGCTGGAATGCACTGGATGCATAATATTGAAAGATATATATATATATATATATATATATATATATATATATATGGATGTGTGTATAAAGATATTACAGTTTGACAGGGTAAGTAGGTGTGCATATGATTATATCCAAAATCAAACTCAGTGACTAAAATCAAAGTAAATGCGAATTATGCCATCAAATAAGTTAGTGACCAATTAAGAAATTTCATAGCAGTGTAGACAGGTATACAGTAGTGAAGGTATCTAAAAATGTAGGACAAGGTAGAAATCACAATACTTCAAAAATAACTCTTTGTAAATGTCATGGTAATCATTAGAGACTTTTGTATTTGGCAATTTAGTTTATTGAGTCAAATCAGAATAATTAGTGTATATACTTTCATATTCATTAGTTTATTAACGATCGTAAATGGCTAAGGATCTTCCTCTTCCTGTAACTAAAGGAGTTAAGCAAATGCTCCCTCATACAAGTAGACAGTCATTTTCGAATGTCTTTATATTTCTTGTCGCTTAACATAGTTTGAAATGGGGATAATCAATGGAATGCGTCGAATATGTTGTTGCGATATACACTTGCTAGTGTTGGAAAAATGAATTCTGAGAAGTATTAGGTTTGTTTATAAGAATTGTTGAACCTTAATCTAACCACTTCATGTGTATCATTCCTACACGGTAACTGGTTCGCAATTGTGATAACAATTTTCTGATATCTTTGCTGGTAAATCATTCAGGGTATTTTTAGGAGTGGTACAATTCTCATTCCGTATAGTAGATTCACTAAATAGCTAATTATTCTTACCACACCTTTGTAGAATTTTACAAATACCTCAGGTTCTTATCTTGATTTGTCTAATATTTCCTCATATTAATTCTTGACACATATAAACTGTAACGAGTATTTTAACTAAACGGCTTTACTGAAACTTATTAAATCTTGCTTTCCTTACCGTTGTTGCTAATTCTAACTTTGTTATTCGGTGAAAAAAATAATGAATTCCCTTACTTTTTTTTAAAACTTGGTGGAAATTAGAAATCTAGGAGAAAAGTGTATATCGTCAATGTGTTTGCTTCACGTGTGATACGATTAATAAACAATGTTGGGTCAGTGAAATAGTAGATTCTGGATAGTATATAACGATCTGCTAGATTGGATATTTTTTGCCATAAATTTATTTTTCTAGAACAGTTGTAGTGCAAGTCAGAGAGGTGTAAGTGTGAGTTCAACAAAAGCATAAAAAATATGTTTTTGAAGACAAATTTATATTGAGTAGTATATTATATGTTAATTAAGTCTGCATCAAAGATTACGGCATTCAGTTATATACATATACAGAAGAAATGTAGTTCTTTCTGTTCCTAGCTCATATTACTCGAAAGTTTACCACTTTTTCATGGTGTATTGTTTCTGGCCGTAGATTGCCGAAAGATGTAGCATCTTAAATGGTAAGCTGGACAAAGTTATACTACTGTAGATAAACTAGATAAGATGGAAAAGTTTACTAAAATCAAATCGTATTTTAATAAAAATATATTTATAAATATCCCAATGAGTAAAAAAATTAAGTTTTTAAATTTTCCGACTTGACTTTTCTGCTCATTGGGATATTACAAATATATAATTATTAGTAATTACAATCTACCCAATGCTCAATTTATTTGAAATTACCAACCTTGGTAATAACACCGAATGGTATTTTGTTTCCGGAATAATATACCATGTCTTAATGTTACACTGTGATACGAACACGCTTATAAGCAGCTGATGAGAAACAGATAAAATAAATTCATATTATTTTGCTTCAACTGTTGTTTTGGCTTTATTCAAATTCGTAAAGGAAACCAATCGTATGAAAAAACTGATTTGTTCGAATGGCTTACAATTACTTCCTAGCAGCATCGTTGTTTACTTAATGGCATAATGTAAAATAAACTTCAGGATATGATTTATAAACTCCTTGTGTGAACAACGAAACAGAATATTTAATTATCGCGAGATGGGTAGTTTAAAGACGCTGCTGACATCTACAGATAACAGTGACCTCGTAAAATCTGATCATTCGTTTCATTGGACAAAGGCGCTTAAGAAATTCGTTTCATTGAGGCCATTTCCATTGTTGCATTTCACAAATTGCAGATCAGGACGATGTGTTCATGACAATAATCAACCTGTCTACTAAGTTTATTCTCAACTATGCGTTATTGAGATATATATGTTTATTTCATTCTAATTACCATGTAAAACTGATTATTTTTGTACCTATGGAACTTTGCTTATAGTATTTTTTTGTCTGTTCATCAAGCTATCAAAAACACCGTTCAGTTACGTTGGTTACCAGAAAAGATGGCGAAACTTAATGATTCTGGATTTCCGTTATTCAGTAACAACAATGGGAAGAATCGTAAAACGAAATTCTGCTGGATGTCACTTAACCATCCAGATGGTTGTCCATACACTTCTGAATTGTGCGACTTTGCCCATTGCGAAAATGAAATTCTCACAAAAACCGATCCCAAGAAACAATAAACGAAATTAAACATGTATATACGTCGACCAATAAAGAATTTTGAACTAAATAACGTCTTTATTTTCTCCCCACAATGTTTTCGTTACGCAGTCAACGTAGTTTATGAACTGACACTGAGTTTTGGGTAACCCAAACATGTTTAGAAGATGAAACTGCACTGAGAACTAATTTTATTCTTGATACTACTCATGGAATCAATATAGAAAAGTAAATAATTAATACTTGAGAAACATTTTCCATACAGAATATTAAATTAGTTTAATATTTCACATCATGAAATGTTTATGTATCAAAGTAATAAACAAAATAATGACATTTTTAGTATACCAAAATAATGTTTAGGAAATATTGTTCATTGTGACTGAACCATAATTAGTTCATTTCTGATTAGCCAGCACTATAGCCAGGAGGGCCATGCGAACATGCGTTCCATACTCCGCTTGACGGAAGTAAGCTGCTCGAGGGTCGGAATCGAATTTGGGGCTGATTTCTCCAACACGAGGTAGTGGGTGCATTACAATCATTCCTCTAGGCTTGGCTAGTGTCATCAGTTCAGGTGTGACAACGAATTGATCACGCCGGGCATTTCCATCATCACTCATTCTCTCTGTTTGCACACGTGTCATGTAGAGGACATCGGTATCAGGTAGTGCCTCCTCCAAGCTATGAATAAAAAAATAATTTATGAGTTAGTTTGGTTCTGATTTAGTTGTGAACAGAATCTTATTTTACACAGTTGAAAATTAGAATTGTATGTGTATTGTAGTCGTCCAACGCATGATCTGATTTCTGCGTTAAGCTTTAGGAAAGATGGAATACATTGAATTGCATTTCTGAAACTCTCTGGCTTTACAGAATATCTAAATCAAATAGAGGTTTTATAGATAGAAACATTAAGGATATTAACATTTACAGCAATTGTAATAAAGTCCAAACTAGACCTACCTAGTCATCTCTTCTTGTGGAATACCACGATCAGCAACATACGATTTAACTTCTGGTGGCATCTTGAATTCATCTCTGTGAGTGACGTAACGTAGTTTGACTTTATATAAGCATAATAATCGAGCCAAACTATGTACTGTGCGTCCATTAGCGAGATCTCCGACCATAGTGATAGTTAGACCATTCACTGTCCCGATCTCCTCTCTAATTGTGAAAACATCGAGTAATGCCTGAGTAGGATGCTCGCCTATCCCATCACCTGTATAGATAAGAAGAAAAGCATAAAACCTTACGTCCAGAAGAGGAAATCCTGTAGGTAATAAAGGTTAATAGTGACAAAAACGCGTTTTATTTGCTTCAAGGACAAGTTACCTTTATCATCTAACCATACATTTGAAAAAGCCTTCCTTATAATCCCAGCCGATTTCACAGAAACTTGCGTTCTCTTAAAAGTCGCCGAACATTGTCATATTGTGATTGATAAGTATTAGTACGAAAACTTAACAACATCAGATAAACGTTGCTTTCGATAGTAAGAATAATAGTATTTTCTAAATATTAAAAGCTTTGTGACTGCCTAAAGTGTTTGCTCAAAGAATAAATAAAATTTTAAATTTAAAACAAGCGTAGATAGCAGGAAAAGAAAATTAGATCAAATAACTTAGAAGTTATTAAGGCCCTATTTTAGCTCAGCGTCCCAGATCAATTAAAATCAACGTCTGGCAGCACTTACTGCGGAGTAAAAATCAAGGATCATGCCGTATGTGCTGTGGCCATATAATGTAGTTTAATTACTCATTCAAAATATCAAGCACCGTATCAGATACATGATTGTTTTCTACAAAGCTCCATTCATTTGGCGGTGATAAAACCCTGTCCTTAGTGAATCGAGTCAACAAGGAAGGGAGAAGGAAACGATTGTCGACAATTCTATGCATCAAAAGTGAAAGACGCCTCTTGTTCTTTTGTATAATGAGACATGAAATGGCAATTTCGTTTTGGCCGTTTGCATTTGATTAATCATAAAATGTAAAGTATTTCTCTGAACAAAGAAATTTTATTATGATTACACTAAAGATCCTAATTACTTTTTTCAGGTAGGCTATTAATTACAGTTAACTTAATGATCAATTGGCTGTGACCTTATTTTTGTTTTGTTAGTACTTACAATAGTTCAGTTTATAAACAATTATGTTTTACGCCTCCGTTATGACATTGTTTTTGTCACTATGCGTTATTATTTTTAATAAAATAACTGATCAATAAAAAACTTTCAACTACACATTATATTTAATATTCGTGACTTATCAATATATTATCATGGGATAAAGTTGGCCAAAATTCTATCATGTTAAATAAGTGATGAGAACTTTACAGATCTTAGCTTGGATTCGTTTATTTTGGAGTATACTGAAACTTTTGTAATTATTCAGCGGTATTTAGTTTTGATTAGCAGCAATAATTAATTCTTGTTTAATACTGCAGTTAAATTACAACACATCTTCAATTAAAATAGATACAACTCACCAAGAATATGAAGAAAAAATATGAACTAACCTGCATTTATAATTGGTTTGTGTACTATTGAATTTGCTAAAGCTTGTATAGCACCTTTTCCAGGATGCCTTATTACCAAGCAATCACAATAACCGGCTAATATCCGTACAGTATCTAAAGTAGTTTCACCTTTTGTCTGGGAGCTGGTAGATTCTGAAAAATGCACTACAGTGCCACCCAGTCGTTGCATTGCTACAGCAAATGAATTAGAAGTACGCGTACTTGGCTCAAAAAACAGATTCCCCATTACCTGATAAAGAAATATGCAAAGTGAAGAATTAAATATACTAGAGAAGACTTGGTGAAGTATAAATATTTAGTGAGTTATTTTTATTTAACAAAATATGTATTAAAGTTTTACATACTTTTCCACGGCATATCTGATCTAAAGGTTTGTTTTTGTTTAGAGCAACTTTAAAACTATGTGCTAAATTATACAACCGACGAAGATGATCTTTTGAGAAATCCTCAGAAGAAAGTATATGCTTCCCTGATATACCTTCTAACCATATACTTGGAAGGCTTTGGTGAGTTTGAGGTAGTTGGGCAGTTGGAATCAAACCAGATGCAGAAGGTTGGTATACAATAATTGGACTACGAGGTCCCTCATCACTTTGAGTGTTAGCTGGGATCGGTGTACCAGGTTCATCTTGAGACTGAAGAGAAAATACAGATGGACATACATACGAGAAGTGAATATCATTTCTCAGTGTTACGAACAGATATTTTCATAATAATAATAATAATGACAATTATATATATGCTTATAGAATAAGTTATGAAATGAGATCCACGTTGCTACTAATTGATTACTTTCCCAATTTCAGTGAATATTTCCTAAGGAAGTGAATCTGAACTAACTGGAAAGTTTTGTAGAGCTTTAAAGAGTTTAGATTAGGAATACATAACTTGCTTTTCTATTGAATAGGTATGAAGCATTACAAAAGTGGTTTTAATGAACATATTACCATTAACTGAGTTCAGCTTAACAACTATTCAATGTTAATCTGGATAACATTCCTTTGCAAGTGAGTGGTTTATTTCTCAAGCAAAATTGATTGAAAATCTAAAATGATTGTTGTCATAGATCTTTATTAAAATTGGAATTATTTACCCCGAACAAATGAATAACCTTGGTGAGTTTAAAGGTTTTTCACCAAACTCTTACTATCTGGTTACAAAGAAATTAAATGGTAACACGACATATATATATATATATATATATTGCTAGCTACTTAAAAGTACTACAACTTAAGCTGCAAACTGTTTTTGTGCTTAGCTTCACAATGTTGTTAATTGTCTAAATCTCATGGAATAAAATTTATCACGGGTTTATCGAATTTTTTAAAGCAATTGGTAAGCTGGATAGTAAAGCCACAATATGATAAAACGTCACATGTCTTGGAATAATAATTTATATGAATACATGAGTGTAATCAACGATAATTGTACACAATAAGTAACTTACTACCTGAACACGTTCATTAGTTGAACTATACCGGTTTCTTAGAGTGGGAGAACCAGGGATATGTTTCAAAGAAGTGTCAATTGTTAGTGGGTCGTAAGAATTCTTGGACAAGGATATGTCTGACGACACATCTTTACCGAAACCAGGCTCTACCAAGACTGAAATAGGATAGTGATAAGGGTTGCAAGAAAAAGTATTTATCCACTGGAAACGTACATAAAAGATAACGGTGATATATATGTGATTTCTAAGAAAAGTAGTTCAATTTAATAACTATTAGATGTGGCGAATTCAGTCATAGATGCTATAAAAATAGGACTATTTAAGATGGTAAAATTGTAATTGTGTAAAATAAAGAAAATTTAGTTGTATGAATATTAGAGACGAGAGGAAAATACAAGCCAAATTGCCAGGAAATTTTATTCAGTTGGTTCTCTTTATGAATTTGAATAAAACCAAAACAACGATTGAGGTAAAATAATACGAATTCATTATATTTCGTATTAAGGTGTAACATTGGAGTATAATATAATCTGATACAATAGACATTGGTGACGAAAATTTTTAAAACAATGATTATCTGTACTATATGTGTGAATACACGTGCGTGAAGTCATTTGAAGAGGGGATGAGAGAGTAATTATGTAGAGCGTAGAAACTAATAAAACGGATTACTGAATAATTACAGTAGGTTTGAGGAGTTTACATAAGTATGGAGATTAGACAAGTATAAAACACAGATGAATGAAAAGATAATTTTAGCGTAGATGAAATAACAATTGACTTAGTAAAGATTGCATAAATAAATAAACACAACAAAGTAATTGTGGTAATAATTACAGACTACTTTTATCAAAAAATGTAAATTTACAAAGGAAATGATAAATTGATAACTGTCTATTTTTGGGCATATAAACCCGGTTTGAGTTTTTTTAATTTCCTGCTGCTTCAAAAAAAACGAGAAGTTATTTTACTTTATCCACTGATAAATTTGAAAGGTTGGCAAACGTCACTAATATATCCGCTATCAAATAAATGCCGAGCTATTGCACTGTTTAGAGCTGCTGCATATTTTA